ATCAGAATCCACTGAGCCCAATGACGCATGCCAAGAACCTGGTTTGTTTACTTGTCCTGAAGAAGGATGCATAAAATCGTATGTGAGGTATTCATCCCTTCAGACGCACATGGAATGCGGAAAGCACAAACGCTGTTTAGAACAGGAGACCCTTTATGACAAGGCTATCAAAGAGTACGCAACCAAGCTAGAAAGTGGTACAAGTCAAGTTCCCGTTATTCATCAGCAAGGTACCAGCTCACCTTCATCGCCATCATCTGCTCTTAAAATGGGTTGGGCGCTGAAATCYACACGTAAGCGTAAGAGATTCTCTGACAAGCAAAARGAGTACCTTAATGCTAAGTTTCTGATAGGAGAGRCCACTGGGAAGAAAGTTGACCCATCTGATGTGTCTAGAGAAATRAGAACTGCAAAAGACATTAACGGAATGAGCTTATTTGATAGTGGCGAGTTTTTGTCTACGCAACAGCTCCGTAGTTATTTTTCCCGCATGGCTGCGAAGCGTAGTACTGTGCCGGATGAATTAGAAAGTGACGATGAAGAGGATGCCAACTTGGAAAATGAGTTACACCATGAACTCCAAAACCAGGTTCTGGCCGACATCAGTGTTCAACACTCACACCCAATTATGCATGATTCCAGTAATATTTGTGAAATGGTAATGAGCTCCAAGATCAAATCGCTTTCAATAGCCAAGTTGCAGGACATTTGTCAATCCCTTGGCCTTGACACATCAGACATTGTTGTCAGGAGAAAGAAGCCTTACGTAGACATGCTTACCAATTTGGTCAAGGGTTGTGATTGCAACCAATAGCTAGATGATAGACCCTTCGAAATCGTAAAATATCAAGTCGTGTTCCTTGATTGAAGGCTCCTTTTTCTGTGTCTAAATATTCACAAATACTAAAGGCAAAGCAACTTCAATAAATAAGAACGCTTTGACAGCCCACGGGACTCTCACTTGAACACATGATCATTCTGTATAAAAATGAGGCTAACCCTCCAGTTTTT